GGTTCAGAATCAGTGGCAATTTTAAAAAAGTAAGGTAAAATAACTGATTCCCCAACCTCTGCAAATCATATTGCACAACAAGATGAAAAATTGATAGCCACAGCCAGCTGCAATCCTATTTTCTACCTTCCTATGTCCTGGTAGTGGAAGTTTGATTATAGAGACATATCTAATTAGGTCTCTCACTTAACAGAGGACTTTTTATTCTACTTATGGAAAAACTTCTTGCTTGACCCATAATGAGTTGTTACAGAATATCTTTAAAACAGCAACAAAGCTCTCGTCTAAATTGTCCTTCATAGGTCAGTGGTTGCTAGTGGGATACAGAATTGTTCCCTTCATCAGGTCAACAGTTCTCATCTGTCCCAGGTGGGTAGCGGTTATGTGTCATTACAAGCTGATTCTTGTTCAGTGTTCTGTCAAAAATGAGATTTTTGTGCTCAATCCATTTCTTAATGGACAGGTGTTACAAACCAATTGGCATTAATTGGTAGCATTGTTGGTGGTCTCAGCAGAAAGCTAAAGGAGTGAAACGGGCCAGAGGATAAAAGATGTGATTGCAGAGGTAATCCCTAAACAGCCAAATTTTTTAGTGCTTTAGAGAGGTGATGTGGAGAGTTGCAACATGAGCAGCAGCTGTTTAGTAGTAGACAGAAGGCTTAAAGGGCAGCCAGCTCAGCAGGCTAGATTTTGTCCTCATCACATACTCTCAACAGAGTACAAGAGCAGGGGAAATATACAGTGTTATTTCCCAGTGTTATTTCTGTGGTATATTCTCTACCCCTCCAGTGATTTCTGGCATAGGGACTTCCTGAGCCAGAGTTTATATCTTTGCATTTAGCAGTCCTATTTGATTTTGATTCCATATATTTGTAGAAGTATTTCTTGTTCGTGTATAAACTTTAAGCACCTACAACTTTGTGGATGAAAGTTTCACAGCCTCACTCTATGTCATGTAGTCATACATCCTTTCTTTGTTTTTATCCTGCTGCATTTTACCTCTATCATTGCTTCTTATATTAAAAGACCTAGTGAACCACTGTTTCCTAGTCACTTTCACTGTATTTTTATGGCTTTATAGATCTTTGCCATACATCCCTCTCAGCTATTTTTTTCCAGTCTAATGAATCTTTGTTTACTTAACCATTATTTACATGGAACCCTTTCCATACTTTTCAACATTTGTTTTTCCCACAAGAGCAAGATCTTTTTGCTGAGTAGTAATCATCTGTTCATATCCTGTTACAGCATATGGAAGGTTAATATTGTCTTTTCGCATGTGCATTTATTTACAATAAATTTGTCTGTCATTTTATTTCCTGACTAGAGAGATATTAAATATCATGAGATTCTTCTGCAACTGTTTGCATTTTGATTTTCTTTTTATTATTCTTCATTGCTTAGTGTGCTCAATAAACTTGGTTAGTCCAGTGTTCACCTTGTCCAGATCATTAATCAATATGGATAGACTGAGCCACAGTTGTCCATGGGAGTCTGATAGTGCTCCTTCACAGTGAAAACTAGATATTAATTGCCGTGTTTTGTTTGCTATATTTTGCTATATTTTAGCTAATTATTTATCTGTATTTATCTTGCCTTATTTCATAGGAAATTAGTTAAGAACCTTTTGTGCAAGACAAATGATTTTTGAAAACCCGTGTGTACCTTAGCAACTGATTCTCACATATTAACTGACTGCCTTAGATAACTCTAAAAGATTTGTGAGATGACCTCTGTTTGCAAAAGATGTGTTGCCTGGATTGTTCCCCAGTTTGTTAGGTGTATCCAAGTGTTCATTAGTTTTGACGGGGATACATCAAAGGATGAGTTTCAGATTGAAGTGTAATAGGTTATTGGACAAACTGAACAAAATGAACTGTTGGTCCTATGATAGAGTTTAGTTTTTGTGTCGTGGCCTATGGCCATATGTATGCCCTCTTTTTCCCTTAAGAAGGTAAAGACGAGTCAATCTCTACTTTGTGCTCTACCATAAACTGGATAGTAGAATACATTTTAGTATGAAGTAGACATTTGAGAATGTCAGCAGCTTGACCCCTTTGTATCCTTTCCCTGTTCCTCACCGTTAGAGACCAAGTCACACCACAGTAGGGATTCTTCAACTGTAAGTAGTCCAGAACTGGAAAAGCCATTACTCTTTCTGATGTGTTTCTCAAATATCTGAAATTGTCTGTGGAAGCCAAATTTTCTTAGAGTTTACATCAACTATATTAATATTTCTCCTACTGTAGTATCGTAACTTTGAGATTAATAGATTTTGTCCAACTGTTTTTGGCTATTTGTTTTCCTTCAATTTATGAATCTAACGAGGAATTGTGACGTGGGTTTTCTAAAATTCTGTTCTTTGCTTACATTGAGATATTCATTCTTTGTACTGGTATCTTGCTAAAGCATTTGACTGCAATGTAAGGTACCAAATGGAAACATTACACTGCGAGAGTTGTCCCCCCATGAATTCTTATCTACCAAATGATCTTAAATTGCCTAAAATTTTACAGGATGTTGTTTAGCAGTCAGCTTAAAAGAGTACAACTTATAATTCACAAGAAAAAAGACAAGACTTTATGTTTAAATTATCTAGACCTGATCCGTACCTAGAGAGTGGAGAGGATGGGAACAATAGGTGAGGATGCTTCAGAAATTGTGGTATTTCTTTACTTTCTGATTCCTAGATATAAATTCAGTGATTGTATTCGAGCATTTATGTTCCACTGTAATAAACTACCTTCAGCTTTATTCTTAGACGTTTCAGCTTTATTCTTAGACAAACACTTTAGATTGTGCCAATCATTTCAACTTCAGATTGCATGTGGTTATATCACAAAATCGTTTGTACAGAATTCAAAAATATGCAACAGATTCTTCACTATGATCTTATTAGATTTTAACGAATCTTTGGAGACAGCTTAGCCTTTTGAAGCTAATTGTACAGAACAGAATTACTCTATGAACTTGATTGTTAGATATTCATACTACAACAACACCAGGAGATCTCAGTCAAATGAAAGCGGGATTTTCCTAGGGACTTTGCAAATACTCTAAATGAAATTCTTTTCCTCAAATAGTTTGCAGCTTAAGAGATATTTCAGTATTACCAATTCTGGTAATTTCATTACAAATTTTTCATTTACTAGAAGATGTTCCTCAGTCACTAACTCTCAGTGGTCCTGTTAAAATATGAAACTCACTATTCTGATTTGTTTAAAGAAATAAATAGAAAGATCAGCCCTTGCATACTGTAAGAGCTTTAGGAAAACATGTTAATCCTAGAAGCTTATGAGCAAGAATAAGAACTAGAAATAAAACAATTCCCAGAATCTTTTTTATTTTGAGTAAGTTTTATTACTTTTGAACACCTGGGCTTAAAAGAGCTGAAGCTGTGTCATCTTGTAGTTTATTTGCTTTTGTAAGTACTACTCAGTGCGTATTTGTGACTTTTATTAAAATAATCAGCTTTCAACTACATTCTACACCAAAAAATTCTCTGTACTACCTGGGATAAATAGTTTTGGTTTGGAGATAGAGAACACAGATGCCTAGCTTTGACCTTAACATCTATGATGTCTGTGAGTCCTTCTCAGCTGCTTCTCTGTAAATAATATTGCTATCTTTATAAAAGTGTGCAATGCTCAGATGTCATGACAGTGGGGAGATAAAAGCACCAATGAAAACTTTCTGAGTTATCATTTTTATGCGCTCCGTAAGAAGCTCCTTAACTGTTCTATCATTCCCATTTAATAAGCATTTTGCAGTACATAATCATGATCATAAATCCTGAGTGGTACTCTGAGCAATGAATTCTAGCAGTTACTCGGCTATTTCTAATTTAACTGATTTTTACCTATAAAGACAATTTTCAAATCAATTGCAACCAAAACAAGATGCCAGTATTTCCTTCTAAATTTGGGCATATATCTGTACTTTCACTGGTGTAAACGTCTATTTTCACAAATGGTGTAAACATCTGGACATGATGCCATAAAGAACAAACTACATATAGATACACCAGTGTGTATATATATTTTAGTATTAGTGATTCTATGACAACTTTTGCAATCTAAAATATACTTTCTTTTAATCATGTTTCATTCTGTGTTGTCTTTGGGAACCAATTAAATAATTAGCTGTGATACGTAAGAGGTTATATATATTAGGACACTGAACAATCTCTGTATAATCTCTACTTTAGGTTTGGCTAGACTCTTTTATCGATAACAGTATGTCCATTCTAATTCCTCTAACTTAGTTTGCAATGGCATTTACACACATTTACTTTAACGTTATTTTCTTTTGTTTGTTCTCGTAACATGAACTGAGTAGGTCGTACAAGTGCATATTTTCTCTTCTGAGATCTGGACATCTTTTACTGCTTAAATAGAGTGAGCAATCTTTCCTAGAAGAAATATTTGGAGGAAAACTTCAAAGATAAAATTGTAAAATTCATCAGTCCATATATGGATAATGATAACATGAACTCAAGATTTAAAGTCTGTAATTTAATAACACTATGGACAAAAGTCACGATGCCTAAATAAGAAACCAGTATTTTGCTTGACTACCTTTACTTTATTTCTGTTTTTTTTTTTCCCTGAAGATTGTTTAGATGCATGAAAGAGTTGTAAAGACCAGATGAATTTAAACAAAAAATATGTTTCATGTTGTGTTCAGGCAAAATCTAGAACATTTATGATTAAAATAAAGCAAATATCCTTTTATTGACAGTTACCAATTTTAACAAAAAATATATTTCAGGTTAAGGAAATGCTGAAGTTAAATCACAAGCATAGTATCAAGATGGCGAATGTTCTTTTCTTACATAAAAGCTTTTTTAACTTTTTCTACTAGATCCTGAATTTCTTGAATTGTTCTATTGCTACATATTATTCACTGCTGAGACAAGCACAGACAGAGATGCATATTCATGTTTTTTGCACTGTATTTTCTGATAACTGTGCTTACTGATTCTCCTTTATTTTGTACAGGCTCCATCATCACCTTCTTCACCCATAGCTAACGAACCAAAATATGAGAAGCGCTGGCTAGACACCTTATCAGTTCCTCTGTCAATGTCTCGAATCTCAAGGTACAAAGCTGGAACAGATAAATTAAGGTTTGTAATCTAAAAAGGGAAGCACTGGGTTAGCCAGGTGGATCTAGTATTTTGCTATGGAGTGTTGGCTATGCAATAATGTTTTGAGTTATGAAAGTTTTTATTTCTTATTATTAAAAAAAATATGCTATCCATCTTCTTTTGAGATTTATGGCATGCATGGTGATTACCAAAGACAAAGTAAAACAGTATGGTAAACATAGCTTCATAAAATATGTTTCCGTAGCCCATTTTGTCTTGGCAGTACAGCTACCATCAGAAGATAGTTCAGAGGTTAAGCTTGGCATTACCTGAATTAATTTTTAAGGTATTACATTTCACTCCATATCTCTGTAACAGAATACTCCTATAGTCCCACGTTCTGATATTGTCAGTTAACACCTTTTTTAAAAAAATAAGGAGATACTGCACAGTTCTTGTTACTATGCTACATATTTGTCATATGGAAACTCATATTGACTGTAACAGAGTTTAATAAAGTACAGAGTATAGCACATTATATTTTTGATCACAGAATCTTTTTGCATCTCAGAGACCTAAGCAATGGTTTATAAAGCAGCTTTGGAATAAGATAGAAGAATTGATTTTACTGAATTAACAAAGAGATGTGAAAGGAAAAGTGCGTACTGTCAGCTGAATTAAGTGGCAGCTCCTCTCCCAGACTTTATGTTAAAGCATCACAGATCAAATAATCATAATCTATCCAGAAGAGTTTTAGATTCTTCCCTAATCTTTGTGTTAAATCTTAATTCCATTCTTTACTAAGTCTCTCATCGCTTTCTCCATCACTGTCTTCCTCCCTCCTTCAACTGACAAGTTCACATGGTCACTCTTCCAAATCTATAACAGGCCTCCATCCATTCCGAAATAAATATATCACAACAAGGCTTAGAAGTTCTCCTGTGGATTAAACTAACAAATGTCTGCATGCATATTTAGGCATCAACTCTTATGATCAATGCTCATACACTTAAAGGATAAGTGGGAAGAAGTTAAAAAGTTCAAATGACTGAACTCTGTTATCACCATGCTAGCTAGAAGCAGTTTCACTCCTGTTCTGTGCACTGTGCATTAGATGAAGCAGTCTGAAGTTCAGAAAATGTCAGCAATGTATGCATTTTGAGATTACCTTGAAATAAAACATCTTCTTTTATAAGTATTTTTCATGTAAGGAATGAGAAACCTAGTACTTTCAGTCTCAGCCTTGGACAGACATAGTCTCTTGTGATGCGTCTGGCTCCAGTATATACTTTCTATACACAGCTTTCCATTATTACTGTTCCTTTGCTTTTTCTTTTAAACACTACAGGAAGTTGGAGTCATTCTGTAGAGCCTGTCACTATCACAGGATACTTCAATTTTACTGTTATGCACCTTGCTGCTGCTCTTTACTTTTTGGTAATCCGGTAGGAATAGCCACATGAGCATTGAAGGAATAGCACCTTGAGATTAATTGCTGATGGGGCCATTCCCATGCTCTTACTAATGTCATATGCTTATATGAGGGATACCACACTGCTCTTACCCTGTTCTCTCCTCCTCCGAAATACATGCTTATATTCTTACTGTTATCTCACATATTACTCTTTCTTTTACATTTCTCCATGTTTGTGTAAGCATAAGTTCCAGCATTTATCTTCTACATTCTAAAATCAAATGTCTGCCTTGCATGAAATGAAACCCATAAACAACTAGAAGTACAAAAGGTAACATCAGTCTGGTTAAAATCCCTTCTTTCAACCATATCTACGTATCTCTACTACTCCCTTTCACATTTCAGCCGTCAGTCTAAATTCATTTGAATGAGTCCATGCCAATCTCCTTGAATGTATCATGGGTCTATCTGACCCAATTTGCTATTTTTACCATTCTCTGAATATTTATTTTGTCTGCATGGTAAACGGCATGCCTACCTTTTCAGTATTAAATGAGTTCATTAATCTATATGTCATCCTTGCTGTTTTCTGAATCCCTCCTGTTCTTTGTCACAGCTTTATTTTGCTGTAATCCTTCTTTATATATTATGCTCTGAGTATTATCTCAGTTGATCTCAAGAAGGTGCAGTGGCACTGGACCAGCCGCTCTTGTTTTTAAAACCATATCATTGAACTATTGGAAGTGTTTTCTGTACTATCACATACACAGCTGTTTGTTTTCTCTTCTGCTGGGTGAACTGTATGAAGGGCCTTTTCCCTCACTCTCTACATCGATTAAACTTGGAAAGAGTGGTCTGTATCATTCTTTGTATCACAATGAACTAGGTATTGCTGGCTTTAGGAATTTGCTTGCAACTACGCAAAATGTTATGGCTTGGGAAAGGTTATTAAAGCCTGTGGGATTATCTTGCTATCTATCTACTCAGCCAAGTGGATAGACTTGGATCAGCCAAGTGGATAGCCAAGTGGATCTTCCTTTCCCCTGATGGAAAAACAGCTTTTTCACCTCTGAAACTCTTGCAGATGGCTGCAGCAGACTTAGCATTCTTTTGTTATTAAAATCAATTGCCGAATTGCTGTGGCTTGTTTTAATATATAGTTTTGTACAGTATATGTATAGCATCTTTAAGCCCAACTATTCTTGCTCTTCTGATGTGGAAAGCTGCTGTTAGCCAGTTTGGATGACCTCTTCACTTTCTATTTCCTGTCCACCATAATTTTCAGCTTTCTTTTTTCTAGTAAATAGTTGTAAATAGTCTCCAGCCTTCAGACAACCTTATGAGCAAAAAAGAGATTGCCTATCGTGAGTTCAAATAGAGTCTAATATGTTACTGAAGGGCATCTTTTTGTTGCCTTCACTTTAAAAAAATATTGAGTATATCAATGTATAGCATGTCAGCATCTTGCTAAATGTCTTTGGCCCTTTTTTGGATGAGAAACATTTTATAAGACAGAGTTGTCTGTTAGATTATAATATAAATTTAGTGTGGTATTACATCAGGTCTAATCTAATCTAATCAGATTAAGTAGTATCATGTGCTTCGTGGTTAAACTATGCATTTTAAATAGCTTGGTACTTCCTCTGAGTTTTCTGGTAACTTTGGCAAGAAAATGTATGCTTTTAGCTCTTGTGCCATCAGATGGCCTGGAAAAACTGTATGTTTGATTGTTATTCTGTTGTTCACTATAAGGAAAAGGAGTTACCTGTGACTTTTCATTTCACTTGATTTTTCATTTGATTTTTCTCATGAAGTCTTAAGTCTCTTGACTTAGTGCCAAAGAGTAAATTTTTTCATATATGTTAGATTTTGTCAGCACCATAGATATTAATAGAAACCAGAGAGAATGGGAAGAAATTATTTCTTTCTTTGTAAGTATGAAGAGGAATGATTACAAATACTGCAAAGGACAAGTCTATGAAAAGTGTTTACCCTATTGCGAAAAAAATAACCAGAAGAAACACAGTCCCAGAATACCTAAAGGAAATATAAGAAATGTAGTAGATGTGTCCTCCCTTCTCAGTGCAGGATTTTTCTAGCAATATCTTCAGAGGGTATGAGTATGGGCAAGAAATATTAACTATCCATGTCACCCCTAATTAGTGTATTTCAAATTGCTGATATGATTTGAGTTTGTCTGAATGTTTCTATGTAGCATGTAGATTAGTGTACTCTTTTTGGTAGCTTACTAAATCAACAACTTCTTTATGTGCTTACCTTTATAATGTAGCATCACCACTTTTAGCATTTTACAGTTCTCATCAGTCCATCAGTGTCTTAAATACCCTGTTTTCTGTGTAGATATTACAGTAATATATACTGTGAAAACTCTGTTCCTGTGAATGCTATTAATTGCTACTTGATGATGGAAACATTATGGATAGAGTTGGTCACTAATTGTAATATGTTTAACAGTGAAATACTGAGGTCAATAAGTCTTTCTGACCCAAAGTAGCTTGTAGTTCATGAGTTTGTAGTTATATAAAAGACAGAGAAAATAGTTCCATTAATCTATAGCCTTTCAGTTTTCTTAGAGAATGTCTAAAACTTTAGAAAAATGTGCAGATGAGTATTTGTAGTCCTTTTAGCAGATACTGACAGTACTACACAATCACCTTTATTTGCTGCATTGACCAGAGCTTTAAGAAGTTAATTTTGTATATCTATAACCTCTGGAACATTATGAGTTTAGAGAATGGAAAAAAATTGCTTATTTGGAAGTAGATGGAAACTAAATTCAAGAAATGAGTGAACTGGAAGTAGCTCACACCCAGCAGCTATGAGCCCATGTATCTATGATCTCAATTACAAAAACAACTTAATTAGATTTTGATGTTATTTTCTATTTTTTGGTATTCTGGTCATTGTGATTATTGCAGTGTGCTGTTGGTTTTGTTTTGTTTTTATAATTGGCTCACTGGGTTTTTAAGAGAGCTAATTGTCTTAAGTCTTTTATTTCCCATTTTAACAATTCAGTGGGTTAACAAAATGCCTTTAATTATGTAAATAAATAGGACAGTAAGAAATGAAGCAAACCATTTTGAGATAAGGAAGGTGTAGCAATTAAACAAAGAGTGGGTATGTAAATATGAAATATCACAACCAGACTGGAATCTAACTCAAGAAAAAGGGCCAGTAGGGTAGGAAACCATGGCAGACAGTAAAGCCTGGTGAAAGGAAAAGACAAAGGCAAATTGTAATGAAAAAGAAAGTCTTGGTTTGGAGAGACATTATTAGTAGGGTGCCTTAAGGACTGATTTGGCTACTGTTGATGCAGAATATAGAACTACACTAATCAAACTCACTGGTGACAGAGAATCAGGATCATAGTACAGAAAAGGAGCCTCTTTATAATGTCTTATAAAAAGATGGAACTAATGGAAATAGGATGCAACCTACCAGTACAAAGTGCAGGGAGATGGCATTTGGGATTGTAACTATAACCCCAAAAAACCCTGTGCAATTCGGGACTCTCTTGGTAGATGATAGCGGATGAAGCAAAGACTGGGTACTGTCAGAAACACCACTATCCTGCAGGCACAAAAAGGAGGAATAGATATTTTAG